TTTTTTTTTATGGTGTGTATTTTCTCTTTCAGTTCTCGCAAGAACTTCCTCACCTCCTGGAACTCATTGGCTCTTTTTTTCTGGAGTTTATTATTTCTCTTCTCTTGTATCTCTATTAGATTTGTCACTATGAATATTCTAAATTCTTTATCAGACATTTCTGCGAGTTCCATTGTACTGTCTGTGGATGAAGAGGAGTTATTCTTTTCCCTTGGGGGAGAGGTATTATCTTGATTTCTCATATTTCTTATGCCTCTTCAGTGATTTCTAGTCATCTGATGTGTTACTCGTTTTTTTCTAATTTCTAAAAGTTTAATCTGAGTGATCAGAGGCATGCAGGGATGAGGTGATCTGTAAATTCTTTGCCATTTCATTTTTCTCCCTTTGTGCTGCAGATTTAGTGGGAATTGAGGAATATGTTAACCCAAATAGTGTTCAGATGCTTGGCTATATTTCACTTGGACCTGTCTAGACACTCAGTGAGTGGATGCAGGTGACTTCTCAGCAGAACATCTTCATTTCGCTTATTTCCTGAAAGCACTAGATCTCAGCTCCCATGGAGGACTCTGTCACTGCTAAGAGTTTGAATAATCTGGTGATATACTCACTTCTTCCTACTTCTTTGGAGTAGATTCTGTAGCAGTATGCTCCTGCACTTCCCTATGGTGTGAGTTAGCTCTGTGCCAGTTTTCCTCCTCTACTGTGGTTGGCAGTGTGGAATTCACAGTGGGTGTTTTGAGTTCAGATTTTCAGAGGGGAGTTTCTCTCCTTTTACTGCTGGGGGTGTTATGTGGAAAGAATTCTTCCAAAGCCTCACTGTCTTCAGGGGTTTGGTTTCAGTTTACACAAACCTTTCTTTTTCTAATGTGGCTGGAGGCTAAACTGGATAGGTAGAATGTAAGATGGTAGTTCAGTTCATGCACTGTCTAGGCTAGAACAGCCTCCTCTCTCTCCACCTCAGGCTGGGTAGAGATCTTAAGTGATCAGTTCATAGTGAGCAGGGCTTTGCTTCCCTGTTGCTCCTTCATAGGTGTGGTGCAGAACAGTGTCAGTACAGGCTGGGCAGCAACTCCTACCTTCCATCTCTGGGACTGCAGGAGCTGGGTGGTGATTGTTTTAGGTTGGAGCAACTTCTCCTTCCCCATTTCAGGCGGGGTGGGTGTCTGATGATCAGCTCAGACTGTGTGGCCTTTGCTTCCCTGTTGCTTCTTGTAGCTCTCTAAATAAATCTTTTATGTGTATATTTTTATATCTTTGGGTAAATTACTATTGCAGAATAGGATTGCTGGGATATAAAATAAGTTTGTTTAACTCTACAAGAAGTTGCCAAACTATTTCCAAAGTACTGCACTATGTCATATTCCCTCTAGTTGTATAGCAGCATTGCAATTGCTCTACGTCATTGCTGAACTTGGTATTTTCACTATTTTTCATTTTAATTATTGTATTATATGTAGTATTCTATATTGTGATTTTTGTCTTTTTTCATTTGTTTGTGAAGGGAGTCTTATGATGTTGTAGTCTTTCTGACTCAGCCTTTCAAGTAGCTGGGAGTACAGTACCATCACACCTGACTCTCATAGTCAGTGTCTTGCTATGTTGCCCACACTGGCTTCAAGCTCACTCTCTTCCCACTTCAGCCTCCTCATTATCATTGTGGTTTTAACATATATTTAACTAATGACTAATGATGCTGAGTATTATTTCAGGTTCTTTATTATAATTTCTGTTAGTATGTAAATTACATTGAATGATTTCCAAATATTAAAAAACTTGGCATTCTTGGTATAAACTTGAAGGTTGTCCTGGGAGATGATTTCTTGCTTTCTGTCTCTCTGTCTCTTCTGTGAGTGCACTCGCCTATAGCAAAAATCCCTTTCTTAAAAAACAAAACAAAAAACAAAATTTGAGGGTTGTGGTTGACTTTGTTTATAACATGTTGTTGGTTATATTGGCACTTATATTAATGGGGGTTATTTCTCTGTGCGTTTGTGTGTGTGTGTGTGTGTGTGTGTGTGCGTTTGTGTGTATGTGTGTGTTTTCCTTTGGAAAGAGAAATTTTTGCTATAGGGTATGTGCGTTCACTGGAGAGACAGAAACAGAGACAAAAAGTGAGAAATCATCTCCCAGGGAAAATGGCCATGCTGCAATTTAATCCCTTTTCTTCCATTCTCCTCTCAGGATCTTGGGCATGCACACACACATACCTAGTGTGAGTTTCGAGCCTCCATGTATGGGACTAGAACTGCCGTCGGCCATGTGGGTGTTTAGCAATGTAAACATTATGCTATGTACTGATCCCTGTGTAGATTTTTAAAATAATGTTTTGTTTTCATCTCAGAGTAATGATTTTCACATATAATGAGCTGGGAACTATTCTAAAGGGTTCATGTGGGATTGACATTATTTTTAAAAAGATTTGATAAAATTCACCAGTGAAACCATTTGGGCCTGAAGTTCTCTGGGAAAAAAATTAACTATAAATTTATTAGATGAAATGGGACTACTTCAAATGACCTATGTTATATCTCTTATGGTACTTTGAGTCTTTTACCAACCTGCTAGCCCACTACCTGTTTTTATCCAGTCCACACCAACTCATCAAATTCTTAAATTAAAAATGTTTTCATTATTTTCCTTTTTGGTATGGTGGTCTGTTCCTCATGAGTGGACATCATTTTGTTTTTCATCCACATCTCTTTAAACACTGAACACCTATTAATGACTTAATAACTTGACTTTTGATTGATTGAACTGTAAGTTATAAACTGAAAGATGAATTTTATTTTGTAATCTTTGGATTGTATTTCAGTTTTTATAGTATACCTTTGCAAGGCTAAGGTTTTAATGAACTTAATGATTTAGAGGGGTGCAAAAGCCTATAGTAAGTAGACATTACATTTTGTTATTTTCGTTTTCATTTCTACTCCTACACGTTTCATCCCTTTTCATCTTTGTTGTTGGAAAATGCAATTTCTTTTCCCATTGATTTAGTCTTTGTACATTTAGCAAGTATCGATCCTTCTCTGAACTCTGGCTGCATTTTTAAGAGAGCAGAATCTGAAGAGTTTTATTTTATTTTATTCAAACAATATACCAAGTATTCTACAGAAAATAGTTACAATTTTCTCTGGTACATAGTTTGTAATTGCAATTTTTCTGCTTCTATTGTTGTTAAAGATGGGTTATCATCATCTACTAATTTTTTTTTTTTTTTACTTTTTTTTGCCATAGGATGTATGCTATCACCAGAAAAAAAAAAGATAAAGAGAGACAGAGAGAGGGAAGGTGAGAAGTTACCCCCTCCAGGAGGGATGGCCACACAACAATCCTTTCTCCTCCATTCTCCTCTTGGGATTTTGGGCATGCATATACATGTGCCTAGCCTGCTTTTCAAGCCACTGGGTTCATAGCTCAAATGGCAGTTGGTCATGTGGGAGTCCAGTACCTTAACCACCATTTCATCTGTTGACCATCACTACTAATTTTTAAAAGTTGCGTTTTAAAGTTGATTTAATAGTCTAATAGGCTTTTTAGCAGGTGTTGGGCAAATAAAATAGCTTTTTCTGTTTTAAAGTAGATTATTACAAATGTGTATTAATTTAACATACATTTATTGGAGCATATAAGTTTTTTTAAAAAAAGTTTATTTCTTCTGAGAGAGAGGGAAGGGGATAGCACTGCTAAAGGGGTTCTGGCGCCTACCCCAGCCAGAGCCAGCTTTGGATAATGGACCCACATATGCCCAGCAAACTGGGCAAAGTCGCTGGGATGTCAACCTGGAACTTCCTCATGGGGAATCAACCTTGCAGAGTCTCATGTTTTACCACTATGCCTCCTCCCACCCCCAACTATTTTCCTGCAAGTCAAATTTAAATCTAGAATTGGATTACCTATTTGAGTGATGGAAATAGCAAAAATACTTTAATTCAAATTTAGTAGAGAGGAAATCACAATCTAGTGAGTAGAATGTTCTGAATATTTCCTAGTTTTCTTACTTTAAAACTATATCTTGTGGGGCCAGCAGGTGGTGAGGTGGTTAAAGCACTGTACTCCCATGTGGTTGACCATGGTTTGAATCCTAGACCCAGTGGGTTAAAACTCATGCCAAGCATGTGTGCATGAGTGCCCAAAATTCCAAGGGGAGAATGGAGGAGAAGGGATTGTGGTGTCGTCATCCCCCCTGGGGAGTGATTTCTAGCTGTTTCTCTGTTTCTCTCTCTCTCTCTCTGGTGAGTACACATGCTCTATAGAAAATCTCTGTCTTAGAAAAATATATATCACAAATATGTTTAGTCAATTGCAGTTCATTCACAATGAAACATATATTTTTTAACATTGTTTTTATTTGCTTCTGGATGATATGAAATTTACTGAATATTTGTGAACTCAGTTACTTCATTTATAAATTGGGAGTATTTAGAATAATAAATAAAAAATTATACCAGATGACTTCCCAAATTCTTTTTTAACTCATCTGTTTTTAATTTATATTCTTGTATAAATTATTAGATATTCTTCACTTTTGGACATAAATATCTAAACTTTAAAAATCTTCAAAAGCAAAATTATGAATGCATATATTATATGTTAGAGCTAAGAATATTAGAGATATTTTGCAAAACATCAGGAGCTACAAAGAAGTTATATAGGGACTCTCAGAGTCCAGACATGACCAACTTTATTATGATAATGATATCTCTTTAGCCTTATTATTATTTTTCACTTGAAAGAGCCTTTAAATGACAATTTCTTTCTTATGGATTCTTTTTTTTTCCCCTGAGGTTTATTTATTTCCTATGAGAGAGAGAGAGAGAGAGAGAGAGAGAGAGAGAAGCACCTTCAACAGGATTGCACAATTTCTATCTTATGGATTCTTTTTTTTCCCCTGAGGTTTATTTATTTCCTGAGAGAGAGAGAGAGAAGCACCTTCAACAGGATTGCACACTATGATCTTGCTCCTGGCCTCTCAGCCAGTCAGGGCTATGGACACATACACATGTGTCCCTAGTGCACACAAATCAACCTGGGAAATGAACTGAACCCTGGTCTTCCATATGGCCTCCAGTATTGCAGGGTGTTATAATACCACTGCATCACTACAGCAGGACTATCTGTAATCTTATTATTGAAGGTCTGGGAAATATTCTTGCAGCCACATTGTGGGCTGTTGTAATCTTATTGAGCATTTTAAAATTGAGTTCTTCTCCTTTCCTATGGCACTTTTTCAGAGGTGATGACCTGATGTTCTGAATCTTCCATTTCTGTAAGTTGCCATCATGTTGTGTATTATTTGTGTTTCTGTAGGTAGTAACTGGAAAGTTTCCATAATCACCAGTGACTTGCCAAATGCAGGAACAAGCTCACAGATTTATATTACGCTATATGGAGAATTTAGAAGTTCAGCCCCGATATATCTTTATGGAGCTAATCGGGCTCGATTTCAGAGTGGCAGTGAAGACATCTTTACTGTGAGTAATAAAACTGAATAAAACCTGTTAATTTAAGTGATACAGCTTTTAGATACTTTGGAATGAATGCCATCTATCAAACTGGGCCTTTCCTATTGCAACATCATGTGCTCTGTAAATCAACCAAAAGTAATTCATGGCAGTTTTTGCTTAGGCTGATTTAATACAAGTAAATCTGCAATATTGGTTGAGACAAGATCTATAGAGAAATTTTAGGTGGTCAATATTTATTGTTTTTATGTGGCATCTGTCTGGAGGAAGGACTTATACCTTTCTGGCTCTATGGATGAGGCTCAAAGTCAAGCTCAAAAAGTGGAAAAAGAACTGTTAAACAAGGAGGGCAAAGAAGTTGAGATAAGTTTTCATTAATTTATTAATTATTGTTATTAAATTATCAAGTTATTATATCATGGGTAGATATATTGAGATAAAGATTTAGAAAGAAATAGGAGTAGCAACAATGAGTCAGGGGAGAGCAGTGTCATGTTATTAAAATAAAGCCAGAAATATTAGCAATCAAAGGCAAAATTTGAAATGGATTAAGCACCTAGCACTTTACAGGTGCTTAATATGTCTGTTGAAAGAATAACTGTATGTATAGAAAGTTTGAACCAGGTGGAGACAGAAAATAAAATCACAATCACAATTAGATGTCTTTTCCTTAAATATTTAATGACTTTTTATTATTATAATTTCTAATTTTCATATAATAGTTCTACAAATTTATGAGGTACAGTTAGTTTTTCAAACATGTATATATTGTATAATAATCAAATCGGGGCAGTAAACCCTCCCAACATCTTAAAGATTTATCATTCCTTTGTGTTGTACACATTCAAAACCAACTCTTCTATTTTGAAGTGTACATTGAATTGTCACCAACCGTCATTACTCTGCTATGCTAGTGTACTCTAGAACTCATCTTTTATCTACTTGCACTTTTTTATCTGGTAACTATGTTCTCCCCTTCCAACATCTTCTTTTTTCCATCTTCTGGTATCCACAGTTATACCTTCCACTTCTGTATGGTAAAAACTTTTAGATTGTACTAATAAGTGAGAACACATGGTATTCATCTTTCAGTAATTAATACAGTTACTTAACATTATTTCCTTCAAGTTTATCATTGTTGTGTCAAATGACAGGATTTCACCTTTTTTTTTTTTTCCTAAATGACTGAATCATTATCCATTCATTAGTTGTTAGGCACCAACATTGCCCCCATGTAATAGCTATTGTGAATAGTGCTGCAATAAACATAGGAGTACAAGTATCTCTTCAACATACTAATCTCCTTTCCCTTGGGAACATAGTAGTGGGATTACTGAATCATAAGGTAGTGTTATTTTTAGTTTTTTGAGAAACTTCAAATTCTTTTTCATAGTGGTTGTACTAATTTAAGTTCCCATGACAGTACAGAAAAGTTCTCCATTCCCCACAGTTATACACACACACACACACATGTATACATTTTACACCTATTTCTGACCCTCTGCCCTTTCCCACCCTCCTCCCTCACTATCTCTGGTGTCTACAGTTCTCAATTCCTTTTCCCCCTACATTTTATTGATCACACAATTTCTTATATATTCTAACTACTTTCAATAGCAAGTTCAGCTGGTAATTTCAAGAAAAACAGTTTTAACTTTAATAAATCAAAGAAATGCTAAGGAACTTTGCTTAAAACTTTAAGCCAGGAAACAGGTTAGGATTTTGTTAAAATAGGTACATGAACCTATCAACAGCTCAAGACAGGACAAAAATCCTTAAAATGGAAAACAAAGCCTAGAAGAAAATCAGTAATGATTTAGTCAAAAGTCATAAAATGCTATTTTACCAGTTCAGTCTCATATACTTAATCTATCTTCTGTTGTGGTTTGATCTTCCCGATTAAACTCTAGACTTGTCCCTATGATTAAATTGGCCATTTTCTTAATTTTTGAACTCTTATTTCTGTGTGTCTGTATTTAATTTTCCTGGTAGAGCATTCTTTTGAGAACTTCTTGAAGATCCGGTCTGGTGTTGGTAAATTCTTTCAGGTTTTGTTTATCTGAGAATGTTCTTGTTTATTTCTTCTCATATGAAGGATCATCTTGCCAGGTACAGTATTCTTGGTTGAAACTGCTTTTCCTTTAACACTACAAATATATTTTCCCATTCTTTCCTTGCTCCCTTTGTTTCCGATGAGAAGTCTGCTGTTACCCTGATGGGATATCCTTTGTAGATAACTTGCTGGTTTTCTCCTGTCAGTCTTAGTATTTTGTCTTCGTGTTTTTGGTCAATCTGGCTATAATGTGTCTTGGAGAAGATCTTCTTGGGTTAATTCTATTTGGGGTGTTTTGTATTTCTTGGGACTAGATCTTTGAGTGCCTCTCTAAGTTTGGAAAGTTTTCTTCCAGGATTTCATGGGATAGATTATCAGTACCCTCATGAGTCTCTTTACCTTCTGGGATACCAGTTATCCAGATGTTTGGACGTTTGATGGCATCTAGTATTTCTCATATATTAGTCTTATTTTTGGGGGCAATTTTCTCAGTCTTTGTGGTGGATTTTTCTAGGCAAGCAATTTTTTTTTCTTCCACATTAGAGATTCTGTTTTCTGTATAATCTAGTCAGCTTTTAATACTTTCAAGGGAGGTTTTGACTTCCTGTATTATAGCCTTCATCTCTAACAGGTCCATTTGGTTCTTTTTTTAAAGTGTGTAATTTCTCTTTTAGATCTTGCAAGAATTTCCTCACCACCTGGAACTTGTCAGCTCCTTTCTCCTGCATCTTCTGCTGTTCATTGTCTCTCTTCTCTTCCATCTCTGTTAGCTTTATAATTATGAATAGTCTAAATTCTTTATCAGACATTCCCTTGATTTCCATCAAACTATCTGTGGATGAAGAGGAGTTATTCTTTTCTCTTGGAGGAAAGGTATTTTCTTGCTTTCCCACATTTCTTGTGGCCCTGCAATGATTTCTAGTCATCTGATGGATAGTGTGTTTCTTCCTAATTTTTGAAGTTCAATTCAAGCTGAAGTTCAGGAGTGTGAAGAAGGAGGTGATCTGGAATCACTTTGCTGTTCCAATTTTTTATCCCTTTGTTCAGCAGATTCAGTGGATATTGAGGAATATGTTAACTCTAATAGTATTTGGATGTTTGGCTATGGTTCCCTTAGATCCATCTAGAAACACAGAGAATGGAGATTGAGGGACAGAGTGATGAGATAAAATTAAAAAAAAGGAAACAGAGAGAGAAAGAATAAAAAAGAAAAACAAAACAAACAACAAAACAAAGAAACAGAAAAAGAGAGAAAAAGAAGGAAAAAAACAAGAAAAAAACTTTTTTTAAAAATAAAAATTACAATAGGGGATTATTAGCAAGATAAAGAGGGGCCGAAAGCCAAGAGAATACTTTACCTTAAACAATCTTAAAAAGGAAAAATTATAAAAAACTGAGAGACAGAGACAGAAGCAGAGAGAGACAGAGACAGAGAGAAGGCTAGAGGGGCTCCCTACCACTTGAGTTAGTGGGCTGGAGGCTGAATTATCAGTAGAAAATCTTCATGTCTCCTTTTCCCCCTGAAACCACTAGTTCTCAGGAACCATGGAGGAGTGTTCTCCATCAATTGCTAATTTTAAAATCAGGTTATTTGACTGTTTTGCTAGTGAGCTATTTGAGTTTCTTATATATTCTGGTTATTAATTCCTTGGTGGATGTATAATTTGTGAATATTTTCTCTCATTCTGTAGGTTTTCTCTTTACTCTCTTAGTTGTTTCTTTGCTGTGCAGAAATTTGTATTTTTATATAATTTCATTTGTTAGTTTTTGTTGTCCACTGTGCTTTCAAGGTCTTATTTAAAAAAATGATTCTTAAACCAATGTTCTAATGCATTTCTTCCATGTTTCCTTCTAGTACTTTTATGGCTTTGGGTCTTAAATCTTTCATCTATTTTGATTTAATTTTTTTTGGAGAGGTTTTTGCTACAGGGTGCATGTGCTCAACAGAAAAACAGAGAGAAACAGAGAGACAGAAAGTGAGAAATCACCCCCATGGGGGGATGGCCATGCCACAGTCCCATCTCCTCCATTCTCCTCTAGGGATCTTGGGCATGCATGTACACGAAGTCAGGTTATATGATACTTCCAACTTTGTTCTTTTTGTACAGGATTGCTTTGGCTACTCAGAGTCTTTGTGATTCTAATTTTATGATTGCTTTTCTGTTTCCATGAAAAATGACATTGTGATGACAAGGATGAGAGAGAGAGAGAGAGAGAGAGAGAGAGAGAGAGAGAGAGAACATTAATGGTGCATAGTCATGCCACAGTCCTTTTCCCTCTGTTTTCTATCCTATCAGGATTTTGGTCCTGCACATACAAATACCTGGTGTGTTTTTCAAGCCACCAGGGCTACCACTTGTACTGAGGTTGGCCATTTGGGACCCTGGTTCCCTATACATGATGCTTAACTGCTGCACTGTGCAATTGTCATGCTATTATTATTTTGATAGAGAGTGCATTAAATTGGTAGCTCACTTTGGGTAGGATTGATATTTTAACAATATGGATTCCTTTAATCCATGGGATGTCTTCCCATTTTTTGTGGCTTTTCTCATTTCTTTCATTAGTATTTTACAGTATTGATTGTATAGTTAATTTGCCTCTTTGATTAAGTTTGCTGCTAGGTATGTTACCTTATTTTTTTGTAGCTATGAAAAAACGAGAATGCTTTCTTTTTCTTTTAAGGTTTTTGCCATAGGGCACATGTACTCACCAGAGAGAAACAGAGGGAAACATTGAAATCAAAAGTAAGAAATCACCCCATGGGAGATGGCCATGCTGCAATCCCATCTCCTCCATTTTTCTCTTGGGATTTTGGGCACATATGCACACATGTCTGGCTTGAGTCTTAAACCACTGGATCTGGGATTCAAACCACAGTTGGCCATCTGGCAATCCAGCACCTTAATCACTGCACCACCTGCTGGCCCCATGGGAATCTTTCCTTAAATTTTTT